ACCACAGGGCTGGGTCTTCCCCAAAGCAGGCGTGCGGGACCCCGCCGAGTGCAGGGACCCTTTGTCCCCGGCTCTGCCCCTCCCCTCCCGGTCCCTCTTCCAGCGCCGACTCTGGTGACTGTTTCCGTCGTGGGTTCCCTGCCCTGGACCCGTCCCCCACCTCTGCCGCCGTCCCTCGCCCCCTTCCCCTTCCCTGCCCTCAGCAGAGCTGGCACTTCAGAGTTGATGCTTCCCCAGTCTTGCTGCTGCGGGCTCGGCCTCTGCCCGCCGGCCTGGACACGGCCCGTCTCAGTGGGTGACCGTCAGGGTTGGCCTTGGCCGTCCCCCTTCTCGCTCAGCCCGTTGGCGGGAGCCGGGTGTGTAGCCTAGGTGAGGCCGTGGCAGCGCCCTGCAGACGTGCCCTCGCCCAGGGGTTGGCCCCTCACTTTACGAGCAGCTCCCACAGCCTGCGAGCGCAGCCAGTGGATGCGGTAGGTGGTTAAAGAGCCCCGTCGCAGCAGATCTCAGGCTCCTGCGGTCGCACCCATCGCCTTCGTTTATCTCCTCCCAAGCCCTCTGCACTGCCTGTCTGTCGGATGCACCGGAGCTGTATTTCCTCCACTTGCAAAGCCCGCGGCTTGTGGAGCAGCGACCTTTCTGTGATGGGTCCGAGCCTGCGAGAGCTGCTGTTACTGCTTTATACCGTGTTGCAGCAGGGGAGGGTTAGGTTTGATCTTGGGGGTGGGGGGGGACTCGAGGAGGGTAGGAAAGCACCAGGGTAGAGAGGTGGTGGGGTCTTGAGGACCCAGGTAGACAAAGCCTTGGCTGGGAAGATGGAGCTGGGGATGATCCTGCTTGGAGCAGAGGGTTGGACGAGACGTGACCTCCCGAGGTCCCTTCCAACCCTTGTTCTCCATGACTGCGATGCGCAATCCCCAGTTCACACCTGGCTCGTGGAACTGGGGCTTGTAACGTTCGATCCCATCCCCGAGTGGCAGTGACGTGACATGAATCATGTGCCCAAGCAAAGTGTGCATTCATTTACAACAACACCTGGGCACGTGGTGCAAAGACCAGCGTGCCCGGGTCTCACTCACATTGCTCCTGTGTGGTTGATCCCCTGGGGATCGATCTCGATGTGATGCTGCCCCTTGGTCATTGAAAAGCAGGTGTCTTGGCAGGTCTAATGAGTCAATTGGAGACCCAGTTTGCGTGGGCACAGGTCCTGATCCAATCATTTGTGTCTGTTTTTTGTGGGTCCGGTATCAGCAATAGGTTCCCGGGGAGGAGATGGGCCCCACCAGGTCCCTGCCCAAAAAGGCACCAATGAGACAAAGCAACTCAACTCGCCTAGGAGGGTTGTTACAGCATCTATGGTGCCCCAATGTCACTGCGGCCTCAGGGCTGATTTGACTTGATCAAGAATCAGTAGAGTTCCTTTCTTGAAGCGGGGCGACAGGGTAGACGTGCGGGGATCAGGCCTCTGTGAGAGTCAGTACGTAGGGTACCATGCTGTCTGATGGTTGGTTAACTTCATTTAGGACCAGCTTCCCCCAGGCTTACAATTTCTTCTCCCTCTTGGTTCCTACCTCATTCATGATTTGCTTTATTTCTGGGGTCCAGTGCCATTATCTCCACCTCTTGAGGTCCCGGTGATGACAGCCTGTATCCAAGCTTGGGTTAGATGCCATTTAAAGCTAGACAAATGATATTCCCAGGCTTTGCAGGAGAGTCCAGTGGTTTCTTTGCAGGGAGTGGATACACTCATCGCTCTGGTCCAAATCCTGGCTGCGTTAGAGAAAAGCGAAGGGCTTCCCCCCTAAGCTGCAGCTCAGAGATGGTTTGTTCTCCCTTACGGGCGGGCTAAGTTTTCTCCATCAGAAAATGCTAACATGGGTGCAGAAGTGGTTTTAACTTGTTCACAGTTCATGTGTCCTCCTCTGTTTGTTGCCATTTCAGAGACTTTTCAGGAGGCCACACGCGGGTTGGGGGGAAAGGATCTGGACAGGTTGGATCAGTGGGCAGAACGAAATTGGATGCAATTCGACAAAGATAAATGTAAGGTACTCCACCTCAGGAGGAGGAATCCTCTGTACACCTATAGGTTGGGGGATGACCTCAGTGGCTGAGAGGTATCTTGGAGTCATAGTTGACTCCAAGATGAACACGAGCCGGCAGTGTAACGAGGCCATCAACAAAGCCAGTCGCATCTTGTTGTACATTAGCAAGTGCATGACCAACAGATCGAGGGTGGTGATTCTCCCTCTCTATGCAGCGCTGGTCAGGCCGCAGCTGGAGTACTGTGTCCAGTTTTGGGCGCCGCACTTCAAGGGGGACGTGGAGGATCTGGAGAGGGTTCAGAGGAGGCCACTCACATGATTAGTGGCCTCCGTGCGAGACCCTACGAGGGGAGGTTGAGGGATCTGGATCTCTTCAGCCTTTACAAAAGACAGCTGAGGGGTGACCTTGCAGCTGCCTACAGGTTTATCAGGGGAGGACAACAGAGAGTTGGGGATGCGCTGTTTACCAGAGCGGCCCAGGGAGTAACTAGGAATAGTGGGTGCAAACTAGTGGAGAGTAGATTCAGGTTGGACATCAGGAAGAAATTTTTCACAGTAAGGGTGGCCAGAGTCTGGAACGGGCTGCCAAGAGAGGTGGTGCTCTCACCTAACTGGGAGGTCTTCCAGAGAAGGCTAGATAGGCACCTGGCTGGGGTCATCTGACCTCGGTCTTCTTTCCTGCCAGGGGCAGGGGGTTGGACACAGTGATCCTTTGTGGTCCCTTCCAACTCTACAATCTGTGAATCTATTAATCATTTTTAATACCATCTTGAGAAAGTATTTAATAACATCTTGAGAAAATCTAGTCAATGACCAAAAAAAAAAAGATCAAAGCCTGGTGAAGTCTGCAGGCCAGGGCAGTGTCACCGTAGTCCTCCAGCTGTGTTAAACTGGTCTGTGCAGGTGGACACTGAGGTCATTGATTGCTGATTGAGCTGAGCTGTTGCTAGGTTGACATTAAACCAGTGGTTTTCAACCTTTTCTTCATCTACAGACCCCTTTGGAAATGCCAAATGGAGGGGCAGACCCCTTTTGAATGGTAAGTATGGGTATTCACATACCTTTAACTGGTCCTAGTAATCTTTCATGGACCCCCTTAGATGCAGTCTGTGGTCCCCCAGGGGTCTGCAGACCACTGAAAACCACTGCTTTAAACCCAGCCCAGCCCAAATATTTTTATGCTTTCTGCAGCACCTCCAAGTCATCTTTTTTTCTCTTTTTTCCTTGGTTTGGGGATGATCATGGATGTAGACTGCATAAAGGGCTGGGGACAGGCTGGGGAGTGACTGGCTAAGCAGCAGCTCTGCAGAAAAGGACTTGAGAGTGACAGTGGACAATAAGATGGATATGAGCTAACAGCGTGCCTTGTTGCCAAGAAGGCTGTGGATGAGAAATTGGCTTTTGATACCGTCTCCCACAATATTTGCACAGGCAAGCTACAGAAGTATGGGCTGGATGAATGGACTAGAAGGTGGATAGAAAACTGGCTGGATTGTCTGGCTCAGAGGATAGTGATCAGTGGCTCAATGTCTAATGAGCAGCTGGTATCAAGTGGAGTGTCCCAGGGGTTGATCCTAGGGCCAGGTCTGCTCAATATCTTTATCGGTGACCTGGAAGGTGGCACAGAGTGCACCCTCAGCAAGTTTGCAGAGGACACCAAGCTGGGGGGAGTAGTACATATGCTGGAGGGTAGGGCTAGGATTCAGTGAGACCTGAAGAAATTGGAGAATTGGGCTAAAAGAAATCTCATGAGGTTCAACAACAACAAGTGCAGAGTCCTGCACTTTTTTTTCCGGATGGAAAAATTGCATGCACCAGTACAGGCTGGGGCTTACCTGGCTGGGAAGCAGCTCTGCAGAAAAGGGTCTGGGGGTTACGGTGGACAAGAAGCTGAATAGGAGCCAACAGTGTGCCCTTGTTACCAAGAAGGCTAACAGCATCCTGGGCTGCATGGGTAGGAGCATTGCCAGCAGATGGAGGGAAGTGATTCTTCCCTTTATTCAGCACTGGTGATGCCACATCTACAGTCCTGTGTCCAGTTTTGGGCCCCCCACTACAGAAAGGATGTGGACAAGTTGGAGAGAGTCCAGTGGAGGGCAACAAAAATGGCTTGGGGGCTGGGAGACATGACTTATGAGGAGAGGCTGAGGGAACTGGGCTGACTTAGTCTGGAGAAGAGAAGACTGAGAGGGGACCCAACAGCAGCCTTCAACTCTGCAGGAGAGTTGCAAAGAGGATGGAGCTGGACTGTTCTCAGTGGGAGCATACGACAGAACTCCAGTTGCAGCAAGGGAAGTTTCGGTTGGATATTAGGAAAAGCTTTCTCCCAAGGAGGGTAGTAAAACATTGGAACAGAGAGGTGGTGCAGTCTCCATCCTTGGAGGTTTTTAAGACCCAACTAGACAAAGCCCTGGCTGGGATGATGTAGTTGGGGCTGGTCCTGTTTTGAGCAGGTGGTTGGACGAGATGTGACCTCCTGAGGTCCCTTCCAGCCCTCGTTGTCTCTGCTTCTATGCTATGATTGCCACAGGCTGCTTGCTCTCGTGGCTGCATCACAGGTGCATGACAAATTGCAGGACACTTGTGATGACCCTGTGATACTCAAGTAAAGAGGTGCTGCTTTCCCTTGTATGTAAAGGGAGATGTCAAATAGAAACATGGGTGAAGGGGAATGGCGAGAAGGGCATTTGAAAGGTTCAGGGGGGCCCTGCCTGGAGAGGTCTAGGCTTGAGATTAAAGAGGCCACACCTCTGTTGACAAGCATGTTAAAAGGCTGCCTCTTGCCTCTAGTGTGACAATAAGAGACCCCCATGTGCCTAAAAAAATAGGTGCACCTGGGCTGGGGGGCACAGGGAAGCTGGTCTCCATATAGGGTCAGGCCCGCTGGCATCTGGAGGACCAGGATGGGTGATGTGCCTGCTACCAGTGTGATGGGGGCAGCAATGACCTTTGCTTGGTTTTGTAGCACAGGGGCTGAGCCTGGGGGAGGGGATGGAGGCAGCAGGCCTGTTGGTGCAGGAAGCTTTGTGGGCCATGTGGGGACTGAAGGAAGGCAGCTCTGAGATCGTGCTGGTGGTGGGGCCAAACATTGGGAGAGCCCCATTGGGGAGATGGGCTGGGGGTCATGTCTGGTCCCTGCAGGATCTGGCAGTGTGGGGGACTGTGGAGGAGGTGGGGCCAGGGACCTGATGGTCTGTGGTATTGCAGAGGTACAGGGTCCTTCTTGGAGACTATAGTGGTGACAGCCCTTTGCATGGTCCTCTGGGAGACAGTGCCCTAATGGCACCACATGTCGGGGTGGGCAGGGACATCCATGTGGCCCCTCTGGGTGAGTGAGGGTCAGGGTGTCTCAGAGCTGGGGGAGGTAGGTCTTGGCCTTGGCTCTCTCCATCACAAAACTAAATGTACATTGTCTTCTTACCCACAGACCACCCAGGGGGCAGGCTGCTGCCAGCGCACCCAGTGCACAAGCCGTTGGGGAGCGAGAGAACAGGCCCCAAGCTGGGGTGAAGCCTCCCCCAGTGGATAAAATGGCTTCTGAGCTGGGCTCGACACCAGCCCTGGGATTCCCGTTCCAGGCACTGGTGCAGCCCCTGGTTAAAAAGGAGGAGCAGGACCCAGCAGGCCCCATGGTGACAGACAAAGTCCCTTGTTTCATCCCAGCCAGGAACAGCGAGGAGTCCCTGACACCGGTGCCTCCACTTCAGGTGAAACAGGAGCCACAGGAGGAGCCGGTCCAGCGTTGGGAGGTGCTCCAGGCCCCGCTGTTCCCTGCTGAAGCTGCACCAGCCCTGCTGACCCCGCAGCAGCTGGAGGTGGCTCCCAGAGACGATGCCCCAACGCTGGAGACACGGCGCCGGTGCTTCCGAGGCTTCCGCTCCCAGGAGGCTATGAGCCCACGGGAGTTTTGTGGCCACCTGCGGGAGCTCTGCCAGCGCTGGCTGGAGCCCCAGCGCCGCAGCAAGGAGCAGATCCTGGAGCTGGTGGTGCTGGAGCAGTTTCTGGCTGTCCTACCCCAGGAGATGCAGAGCTGGGTGTGGGGGCGCGGCGTGGAGACCTGTGCGGAGGCCGTGGCCCTAGTTGAGGGGTTTCAGCTGGGGCAGGCAGAGAAGGAGAAGCTGCAGGTGAGAATGTTTCATCCCAATCACCGATGCTGCCAGCCCCGTCTCCGTGTGGGTCTGGGGGATGTTCCCTTCCTCCCCCATCTCTCCCGGTTCCTGGCTCCCCGGTGACACGTTTCGCTCCTCCCCAGGTCACGGTGCACGTGAAGCTGGAGGAGGTGGCCTCAGACAATATGATGCCTGCTGGGGCATTGTGGGAACCTCTTGACTCCTGGCTGCAGCGGTCAGAGCCCCAGCCTGTGCCGGAGGCAGGATGGGGTGAAAGCCTGGGGCCCCAGAGTGAGCTGCCTCCTGTCCCCAAAGAGGAACCCCCACCCCGCGAGGAGTCAGGTAACATGCCCCCTGCAGCAAGGGTCTCAAATCTTTGGCACTGCCCCTCAGGGGCAGGGCCAGGACTGAAGGCCTCTTGTGCGGTCTCATTGCCCAGCAGAAAGATCCTTTTCCTTGGTTGCTTTATCCTGGGCCTTGCAGGGTCAGTATTGGCAATCAAGTCCTAGTACCCCCTCTTGTGCTCTCTGGGTGCTCTTTTTTCCCCCCAAGCACATGCTCGTGGGTCGCCCTACCATAGTGACTTCATTCCAAGATGAGGTTTCTTTGTCCCATCCTGTTCTGCATGGGAGGGGAGGGAAATAAAACCTCATCCTTGAATTGAGTATCACATGCAAATTCAATACCTGCAGTCAGAGGCGGCGGGACCTTGCGAACAAGCAACAAGGATCCACTCAGCGAAGCAGGTGGTGGCCTGGAGATATCCAGCAGCGTGGCATGTGGCGAGGCACCCAGCATGCAGCAGCAAGATACTTGGCAGCCAGGCAAGTGGTGGCAGGGGAGCAGGCAGCACAGCTAGTGGTGGTGGAAAGGGGTGGGCGTATGGGGGTGTGGGCACAGGGCTTGATCACTACTTACTGGCCCACATTTGCTAATATAGGAGCCTACAGTAAGATCTACGGGGCTGGCAGTGGCGGGGAAGCCCTCGGTATCGTCTTGGCGGATCATGTCCAAAAAAGAGAACGGAGCGGTGTACGGGGGAAGATGCTGAAGGGAATGAGGCGCAGCTATGACAGGAACTTTAAGATGATGGTCATCAATTACGCCGAGAAAACAAACAACTGCGAGGCGGGGAGGATCTACAGCGTGACCGAAGCCAACGTGCGTCGATGGAGGCAGCTAAAAGGCAAACTCAAGACAGCCAAGTCCACGCGGCGGTCGTTCAGTGGTCCGAAGAAGGGCCGCTTTCCCGAAATCGAGAAGCAGGTGCTGAACTATGTTCAGAGGCAGAGGAGCGAGGGCGTGCGCGTCACCTGTGAAATGCTGAGGCTCCAGGCATTAGAAATAGCAAAGGAATTAAATATCCCACAGCACGATTTCAAGGCGAGCAACGGGTGGTGCATCCGCATGATGCGACGCAGCGGCTTAGCCCTGCGACAGAGAACACCACTGGCCCAGCAACTACCGTCAGGCTGCAGCGAGAAACTTTAACTCCAGTGGTACAGTTTTGGGCTGTATAAGACTCATAATTACTGATTGGGCCCAATGGTTGGTGCTGATGAGACTCCGGTCTATTTTGATACACAGCGGATCATCACCGTCAATGAGAGAGGCGCAAACTCCCTCGTTTTGAGATGCATAGGAAACATGAAGTCACAAATGACAGTGATGTCAGTGGCATTAATGGATGGCAGATAATTGCCACCCTGTAATTTTGTATTCTATTTTTTTTGAAAGGGGAAAAACTCTGCCCGACGGCCTGCCAAACTGGGGGTACTTCCCCAGGGAGACTGGAGGGACTTTGGCCTCACTGGGTTTAAACCCATCGTCAAATGTCTTTCTTGACTAGGAGCTGAAGCATTGGGCATCATCTATTTACTGCTGCCCCTTCAGCCCATCATTTTCTCACTGTTGCAGTTAGTTATATATTTTTCCCCCAGTATTTATGTCCAAAACAATATTGAGGTTTTCCATCCTTGCCCCGTTTTAAGGAGCATCTTGTTACAAAAATGTTGCAATGGGGGGTCAGATTCCCACCCCTGGGGCTCAGACAGCTGGGAGAAGGGCCCTACAGCTGCTCCCCTTGCTGCTTGGGACAGAGGTGTAACAGCTGGGACTTCTTGCAGGGTCCTATTCTTGCAGGGGAGGGGGCTCTGGATGCTATCCCCAACTGGAAGGAGGGAAATAAAAGGGTAAGAACTTCTTCTCTGCTGAAAATGCAATTAAAAAGGACCTCATTTTTAGATGCTGGCCTCAGTACAATTTGAGAGAGTCTCCTCTGCACCTTTTCCATTTGTCATGGATCCTCCTGTCTCAGGGATAATTTACCAGGTGGGAATGATCCCTCCCAGCCCATGGGGCCTGTGGCAAGAGTGAGAGCCCTATATTGGTGGGCACAAGGGGAAGTGGCCCCTACATGACCTAAACTGGGGGTGCACGGACTGTCCCTGTGCACAGGCTGTCCGACAGGCCTGAGCCTGTCCCCCCCCACCCCCGGACCCCTGCCTTCCTGTTCTAAATGCATCCCTTGCTGGGTATGGTTTGGGGTGGGGGCATTGGTGTCCAGTCAGGGCTGTCCTTTCCCATCCCAGCTGGGGTTGTGCTGCTCTAGGGCATGTTGCTGTGGCCTGCCCAGCTCCATCTGACTCAGTTCCACTGGGCGCCTAGGTCAGGGCCAGGCTTCCCTTTGCTCAGCAGCCTGTCGGGTACCAGGAGTGTGAACCAGGGGGAGATATGAAGACAGGATGCAGTGCAGCCTCTGCAAGTTTACAGAAGACGCCAAGCTGGGGGGAATAGCAGATACGCTGGAGGGTTGGGCTAGGATTCAGAGAGATCTTGACACATTGAAGGACTGAGCCAAAAGAAATGAGGTTCAACAAGGACAAGTGCAAAGTCCTGCACTTAGGATGAGACAATCCCATGCACTGGTATAGGGGCTTGAGTTGTACCAAGGCAGATTGAGGGGGAATATGTGGAGGGGGGGTCAGCCCTGGAGAGCAGGTGCTGGGAGGGGCTGGGAGTCTCTACGTCAGGGTCTCTCTGGACAGCTTGGACATGCAGTTGGCTGAGCTGATTGTGACACGGCTGATGCTGCCTCAAGCGGGCTACACGTGTTGGGGTCCGGAGGTCCCTTCCAACCTGACTTCTCTGTGACACTGCCCTGGATCACACCTTTGTCCCCAGATGCCCCGTCAGTACCCTCAAGGGCACTGCCTGCCGGGGCTCTCCAAGCCCTAATGGGCTGCACTGCATCCTGGCTTGGTTTGGGGCACCCAGCTGTTTTGCATCTGTATCTGCATCAGGAACTAGTGTGGGCTGTGACCTCACCTCTGACACCCGGGTCTGGACTGTGGGCTCCTGAGTGACCACCCTCTGCTCCTTCAGCCTCCCCAGAGGGAAGTGGAAACAGCATGAAACTACCGGGCATCACTCAGAGGATGCTTGAATCAGCTCAGCCTTTAAGGGCTGTACACGGTCCCCGGATTACCTGCTGCATGGCTGCTCCCCGACAGTCCCAGGCTGTGCCCCACACCGACCCCTTGTGAAAGCAGCCAAAAGCAGGTGGAGGAGCAGGACCTGGGCAGTGGAGCTCTGTGGGTCTGGTCAGCGGCTCCATCTCCCTTTTTCCTAAAGTAGGAAGAATAAAAGTCTTTTCAACCAGGCAGGTATTGCAGCTCCATGGGCTTCATGGTCAAACTCTCCTCTCTGGGCAAAACTATATCTCCCAGGATGAACCACTACCAGGGATTAGTGTCCCATGCTCCATTCTGCAAGGTGGGAGAAAGTGGTTCCTCATGGGAGATGTAGTCTGGTTGAGGGGATGGGGCAACGGGATTTGACACGCTGGAGCACAGGAATGATCTGCATTGAAATGTGTCTGCTCTCAATACCGGACCCAGATTTCTAGGGAAGATTGTATAAGACCTGAATAAGATGCCTGGGTCTTGGCTGTCCATCCCCTGAGAGGTTCAGTGGACATGAGGCAGGTAACAAGACTGTGGAGAGGACGCATCCACCTACCAGGTGAGAGACCTGGTCCCCAAGGACAGAAACCCAAGAGCTGTGGAGCTTGACTGCACCAGTTTCTCTGCTGTCCTGACTTCCTCCTGGTTTCACAAGTAAACTGGGGCACAACGTGACTTTATTTCCAGCATCATTGCTGCTGGAAACTGGGTTCACATCCTCCCCCCACCCAGGAAATCAGAGCATGTCCTGCTGGTGCCCGTGACAAGCACCATTCCTCCATGACAAGGAGTGAGGCACGTGGGACAAAAGACCCTTGGAAAAGCCAGAAGGGCCACATCCCTCCCCAAGCCCTGCCCCACTCAGCACTGATGGGCTGAGAGGACTGTGAACCCCAAAGACCTATGAGCACGCAGGGCTGGGGGATTGCCACTGAGCCCATTAATGGTTCAAAGGGGAATGCGCTGAGGAAGGAGCTGGTTCCACTGCTCCCAGCTGCAATGCCCCAGCTCCAGGCCTGGGCAGGAAAAACCCTATGCAAACTGCTGTTCCACTTCAGACCCCGATGCCAAGGTGGCTCCAGCTGGGTCTGATCTGCCTCTATCACACATGGCTTCCAGCAGCTCCCTCTACATGGAAAGTCCATGTTGCCTTTCCCAACCAGAGCTGACTTCAGCTCAGGTCCTGGCGACTTGCTGCCCTTGCTTACACTGGACTACATCCATTGTGGTTTGCACTACATGAGGTAGGGTTTTGGGGGCATGTCACATCTGGGGCATTTTCAGTTGAAATCCAGGTGAGGGGAAAGTTTAGGGGTCAGAAGTGCCTCATGGGTGGGTGGGACCAGAACTAGGGAGACTCGTGTCCCCCAGGCTCCTTGCGCTGTGGTTTCACTGGTCCATCACACATGTCCACAAGCGCTGCGTAAGGAACTGGGGAGTCTAATACGTTTGTATCCTGGGGGGTTTCCTGGCTTGTTCTTCACTGCACCCGTGAGCAGGGAGATCTTGAACAATGACGAGCACCCAGGAAATGCCTTTTCATTGCCCGGGTGTCTGGTAGGGGCTCAGGCTGGGGTTGGGTGAATTTTTTTTTCCAGCAGGAACCCCTAGATAATTGCTCCTTTGGTTTGTAGGGCAGGCTGACCTCTCTCAGCCTGCCCTACAAACCGGAGTCAACAGGCCCAGGGCCCTCTCAGCATCCGTATTGGGTGAGCCCATAACCAAGTAGATGGCCTGCTTCTTATTGCGGGCATCCGCCCTGTCTTAGTGCTGTACGCTTCGGCTCAACCTCACACACCCCTCACCTCCCTGCCCAAACACTGGTTAAGGGCTTTAGTCAGTCCATTCTCGCAGTTCCCTGTGGCCTTTCAGCTGCTCTGTCAGGGACCGGGGGCCTTGTAGCAGCCCCAACAGTGTCCTGGGGACTTGCAGCTGCCCCAAAACTGTCCTTGGGCCTTGCAGCTGCCCTGACAGCATCTTGGGGTCCTGTAGCAGCCCTGACAGCATCCTGGGGGCTTGTAGCAGTCCTGATGGCATCCTGGGAGCTTATAGCTGCTCCAACATCATCCTAGGTGCTCGTAGCAGCCCCAACAGCATCCTGGGGGCTTGCAGCTGTCCCGACAGCATCCTGGGGGCTTGTAGCAGACCTGACAGCGTCCTGGGGGCTTGCAACAGCTGCGACAGGGCCCTCCAGGGTTGCAGCAGCCTCGATAATGTCCTGAGTCCTGGCAGCTGCTCCATCAGGGTCCTTCAGCCTTGCAGCTTCCCCCACAGAGTGCTGGGGTCTATCAGTAGCCCCCACACCATCCTGCCCTTCACAGGCCCCACAGTACTACCCCTTGCACGGGGCTTTCAGCAGCTTCCCAACAGCTGCCCCCAACCCGGCCGTATGAATGAGCAACAACGTCCCGTACCAGAGCCCTGTTGCCTAAGGTCACTGTACATCCGGGTTTTCCCAGACATGTCCTGTTTTCACGTCCTCCCATCTCCATCCAGGAGGTTTTAAAATATGAACAAATGTTCAACATTTTGATCTGCTCCACATCTGTGTTTTTACCAGCACTTCCCGACCTGGCCTAGCAAGGAGTTGCTTGGGGGGTGGGGCAATTGGGGGCAAGGGGTACCATGTGCATGTGCGCATGCACACTCATGTGGCTGGCATGCAGCCAGGCAGGGTGCTGGGAGCAGCCCCAGCAGCTGGGTGCAGGTAAGTCTATGTGGATTGTCCGGGGTGTCAGGGTGTGTGGAGGGGACGGGTGTGTAAGGTGGGGTGGATACCTGCTGGTGCTGGTGCTGGGGCTGCAGCAGGGCAGGGGAGCAGGGGGGAGGCACCTGCCCCTCCATCAGGGGAAGCAGGCAGGGGCAACAGGGAGTTGCATGGCCAGATGGACGGTACAGGGGTCGGTGCCCTTGCTTGTGGAGGTGGGTCAGCCCACAGATGCCGCAAGGCTGGGGAGAGCAGGATGCTGTGGGTCAGGTGTGAGGGGCATTCACAGGGCTGGGGGGACTGTGGCTTGGGAGTGATGGGTACAAGGCAGGGCAGGGGGGTATGAGTTGGGCATTAGCAGTGCAAGGGGGCCATGGGTCAGGAGTGAGGGGCACCAGCATGGCCAAGGGCGGTGAGGTACTGGGAGTTGGGAATGAGGGGCACCAGCATAAGCAGGGGCAGGGCCCGGGCATATTACTGCTCCCCCTCTAAACATATACCCCCTGCTCCCTACAGGTGCCCTCTTTTTTGCAACTGGTAACACAGTAACCCTACTGCTGGCCCATCCTCTCGGCTGCCCACCACACTACATCTCCCATGGGGAACCACTTTCTCCCCTCTTGCAGAAGGGAGCATAGGACACTAATCCCTGGCATGGGTGCATCCTGGGAGATGTACTCCTGCCCAGAGAGGAGAGTTTGATCACAAAGCCCATGGAGCTGCAATACCTGGAGGCCCTGGTTGAAAAGATTTTTATTCTTCCTGCTTCAGGAAAAAGGGAGATGGAGCTGCTGACCAGACTCATGGAGCTCCTTTGCCTGGGTCCTGCTCCTCCACCTGCTTTTGGCTACTTTCAGAAGAGGGAGATGGGAGCCTGGGCAGCGGGGCGCAGCCTGGGACCATCGGGGAGCAGTCGCAGGTAACCCGGGGGGCAGGTGCAGGGCTTAAAGGCCGAATTGATTCAAGCCACCTCTGAGTGATGCCTAGTAGTTTCACGCTGTTTCCATTTCCCTCTAGGGACGCTGAAGGAGCAGAAAATGGTAAGTCAGGAGCCCTGCAGTCCAGACCTGGGTGTCAGAGATGACGTCACATCCCAGGCCGGAGCACTCATACTGATACAAAACGTGCCGGGATGCAGTGCAGCCTGTTGGGGCTGAGAGCGCCCCAGCGGGCAGTGCCCTTGAGCAGGCTGCTGACAGGGCACCTGGGGCACGTGTGTGATCCAGGGCAGTGTCAAAGAGCAGTCAGGCTGGAAGGGACCCCTGGCTCCCAACACGTGTAGCCCCTGCTTGAGGCAGCATCAGCCGTGCCACAATCAGCTCAGCCAAGTGCATGTCCAACTCAGCTCAGCCAAGGCTGCTTCTCCTGCCCCTGGCTGGATGCAAGCACCAAAAGGAGGCCAACTCCCAGCTAAAGTTGTTCTCCTCCGAGCTCCGTCTCTTTTGCGGTTTGCTTTCTTCCCCTCCTGCTTCCCGGGGAACAGGGAAGGCTCCCACTCGTGTTCAGCAAGCCAACAGAGGGCAAAGGAGCAGCCGAGTGACCAGGCAGAGGCAGAGTCCCCTCCCCCCTCCACGAGACGGTGGACGGGGGTCGGTGGGGGTCTCTGCTGCTTCCAGCCATCCCCGTGTGCCCCTCAGAAGGCAGGGGTGCGCCTGGGCAGCAGGAGCCTGACGAGGGAGATTTGGGCTCCTTGTGGCAGCCTGGAGCTGAAGGCATCGAAACCCAGAGCGCAGGAGCAGGCCCGCCTGGCTAATCCCCCACCGCCCCTTCTCTGAGTCTGGGGCTGTGGAGTTCACTTGTAGTCCCTGGTCCTTGCTCTGCTTTGGCGGGTGACAAGGAAGAGCCCTGGAAGCCCTGAGCTTTTCTCTCCCTGGGAGGAGCTACACTGCACCCCAAAGTCACCTTTCACTTCTCTCCCTCGGGTGCTCTGCAAACCAGTCCACGCTACTCCAGCACACTTCAGGAAAGCATGGGTAGTGGAGTGGTAGGATGCCTGCTCCCATGCAGAACTGGGGGGTTGGCAGGGAATGGGAGGATGATAATTAAGGGCTACTGAGCTCAACTCTGCTCTGTGCTTAGTGTCGGGGAGCCATGGGCTGGGGCCACAGCACTCCCCAAAGCCCTGCTGCTGGGCAGCGAGCATGCAGGGATGCCAGTGCTGTTTCCCCCTGGGATGTTAGCAGAACTGAGCCCGGCACCGCGGGCACCCCACCATGGGCAGCACCGATTGCCCTGTGTGACATGGGCAGCGCGGGCCCACAGTGAGGGGAGACTACAGATAGATGCCGGGGTGGTGGGGGAGGGGATCTCTGGGGTATCTGAGTTGCAAAAGACAGTGGGGAGGCCGTGCCTGGGTGGGGGGCCAAGTCTCCCTGACCCCTGCTATCCCTGCCCAGCCCCACTACCTGCAGATGCCCTTCCCCCCGTGACCCCAGGAGCCCCCAAACCCCTCAAAGCCTACCCTGAACCTAGCACCCCAGCCCACCCTATAGCCTGGCCCCCCTATGGCGATGCCAGTGCCCCTCACTCCCAACCTGCAGCCCTGCCCCTCTGCCAGTGCCCCTCACTCCCAATCTGTAGTCCTGGGTTGCACAAAGACACCTGTTGCTTTCCAGCCCAGCCCTCCACCCCACTTGCTGGTCCTGCCCCTGGATCCAGCCCAGCCCGAGGGAGGAGTGGGGTGCGCGGAGCCCGGGCATCCAAAAAGCAGACATGGACACGTGCACAAACACCCCCCACAGGCCTTAGGGGAACCTTCCCAGGGAACAACCGGCTGAGAACAGACGTGGCTGTGACACCTCCAAGCTCCCCATCTGCCCCGGCCCCAGCTGCTCCCCACTGTCCCCAGCCCCCCTCCTCTCCTCTGGGCCCAGTCCCGCAGCTGGGCAGGGGGCTCATCCTCAGCTGGACTCCAGCCCCTTGGCTCGGGGCCTGCCCCAGTTATTCCTGTTGCCGGAGGGGCTGGGCTGGTGGGGGGGAAGGATATGCCCCCTCCCCTCGTCCCCCTGCCCCATCTTGGAACCACATCACACGGGACTGCTGGGCCTGCAGCCTCCCACCCCTCCCAAAACTTCCTGACCACCTCCTGAGCCCAGTTCACCCCTGGGCCCCAAAGCAGCTAGACCTGGGCACCCTCCTTGCAGAGCCTGTAGGAAGGGGATGCCCCCACGTTGCCTGGGCCTGGTGCTGATCCGATGCAAAACCAGTCCCTGGTGCAAGGCCAAGAGCTCTTGGGGTCTGGGTGGAGCAGGCGCTGGCAGCCCGGGCACCTGGGCTCTACCTCTGTGGTGCGGGAGAAGCGGGTGCGATGAGTCAGACACCAGCAGGCCCAGACTCAGGGGTCCTTCACCCTTTCTCTCTTGAGTCCTTTCTGCTGTCACCAGTCCAGTCTCTTCCTCTAAATCCTGTGCATCTCAGCCATAAAGGATCAAGAAACCCAGGGCCCTTTGGCCCACGCACTACTCCGCCTGCCACCAAGCCCTTGCATGCATTGCACTTGGCATCAGGAAGGTGGCACTTGCCACATCCCCATGCACAGGGCCACAGTGTGCCGTCAGGCACCAGGGGAGTCCACCCAAAACCCAAACAGTAAAGAATTTGCTATGAGCCCCTTGGGCAGTAATATTCCACCTTCCCGGGACCCCGACTCTCTGCTTAGCGGTCCCCGGTCCTCGACTCCTGCTTCTAGCAAACCAGCGTGTGGTCTCATTAGAGAGGTCTTCCTCGTTACAGTCATCCAGCTGCCGTTTTTTCTCATTCCTGTATTTTTCTTTTTCTTCTTTTTTATCAGGTCCGTGGTGGGCTCCCATACTGCTTTCCGTGACTGTAGCTTAGTGTGAGAGTAGCCCAGCACAACCAGATCCAGCCCCGCTCCTTCCCTGCTCCTGGGGCAGGGCCTTGTCTGGGCATGAGCCCCCCATACTTGTCATCCCCCTCTTCTATCCTCCCCCCAGGACCTGGCCTGTGCCTCTCACTGACTCTGGGCCCTGTCCCATGGGCACATGCAGGGTCTCTTGCTAGGGGAAGAACCTATTCCCAGGGCCTTAAGGTAATAGGTAAGCTATTACCTTAGCTGTGAACCCCCCGGCTTGGGAGGCAACAGGATAACAGCAGTGTGGGGGGCTAAGGGGGGTACAACACCGCCCCAGAGCCAAGGAGAGGCCAGGATAGGACTCCCAGGTCCCCCACTCCCTGCCTCCCTGGACACCTGGGTCCTTCACTCAATGTAAGCACTGCTCTTTCCTCATACTTCCCCTGTGTGTGGTTTGGGGGCAGACGGGTGGCATTTCTCCCCATGTGGAGTAAGGCCGGGGTGCACAAAGCCCTTGTCCCTGCCTGAGGGGCTCATGAGCAGGGAGGGGGTAGAGCCAGGGATGTGTGCGGGGGATTGGGGCATGGGCGGTGTGAGAGCAGTGGAGGCTCAGAGGTCTGAGGGAGCCAGGGGGTCCTGGGGTATGGGTGGTGTCAGGGAGCTACAGGGTGTGGGGTGGTGTGGAGGATTATGGGGTCTAATGTGGCTGGCATGTGATGGAAGTGAGGTGTTTGGAGGGGTTGTAGGGTCTGAAGGGACACACAGAGCCAGGTGGGATTTGAGGGACAGAGATGGTGCAGGTGGAGATACAGTAACATGACTGAGATCCTGGTGGTGAGCTGGTCAGGGGGGCGGGGGGAGGTTATGGGGTACTATGGGGGTCCTGCAGGTGAAATGGGCCACGAGGAGAATTTAGGCTGGTGCATGATGATACGCGAGTGGGGGGTCTAGCGCTTCCAGGGGTTTGAGGGGACAAAAGATTGCTTCTGGGGGTGACAGAAGAGAAGTTTGCTCTGAGGTCACTGGGGATGTCCTGGGGTGGGTTTGCTTTCTCTGGCGGAGGCAGCAGGGGCTGGGGTAGGGTTAGGGTTAGGGGCTGATTTCTCAAGCTAAAAACAACAGCAAGACACAGGTGTTGGTCTCCCATGATGGGGTATGGTGACAGTGCTGTGTTACTTGGAGCTTAGATGATAGACGTGCCTGGGCTGGTTTGCACAGGGCTGATCCTGCCGCAGCCCAGGGCCACGTGAGACATGACCTCTACAGGTCCCTTCCTCTCTCCCGGCTCTGTGCTCTCTCCCCAGTATAACACCCTCGGCCTGTTCTCACAGTGGCTGACACCCCACCCGGTAACACAGACCCATTCCCTCTGGAGAGCATCACTTCAGCAGTCTTTGCTGTGCAAACTCGCTCTTGAATGCTGCAGGTATTGACTGATGCTCCAAAACCTGGGCGAGTTAAAGATAATGCATTACAAGCAAAGCAATTGACCTCATCTAAGAGACCTGCTGCGTGCTGTTAATTACCTAGACCCTGCCAGGGGGTTTCCACCTGCAGATGATCTCAGGTGCCCTTGTTGCAATGGGGCCCTTTGGGCAGGCTCAGAGCCAGGTAGAAGGGCCAAGCCTGTGAGTGGTCTCCATGTCTCACCGGTGCATCTTTTCCCCTCCTGCTGGGACCGTCTGGGCCCTTGTGACACTCAAAGACAAGGACAAAACTAGGAGCAAAAGGATCAGATCATGGGCTGCACCTTCCTATCATGCTACTAGATAGGTTTTAGGCATCAGTAAGATGGGTTTTATTCCACTTACGTACAGGACGAGATATACACTGCAGCTGCCTGGTACAGAAGCCAAATAGAGTACCCAGAAAGAGCAAAGAATAAATTTGTTCTCCTCCATACTTAGAGCTGTGGCTCTGTCCTTAGAGAAGTGATCAGAGTGTGAGGGTGTGGGGGGGATGTATTTCATGGCTGCCTTGGGACAAAAGACTTTATCAAGGGGAAAAATGGTCATTCATTGCTTGCCGTCATCTTGTGAACTGCATCTTCTTCCTCTTCTTCCTCAGCCCCGATGGGAAGTGTGATCCATGCTGTCATATCCCAGGCTTTCAGTGGTCTGCTGCATGTGACATCAAGAAGGCTGGGCTGTATTAATTGATGGCAGTCAGCCCCTCCCTCCAAAATGTCCCACCTGTCCCTGTTCTAGATTGGAGCTGTGTTTCCTTTCATGCTCTGTACTAGGACATCTCCCTCGGCCCCAGCGCTGTGGCATGGATCCTGGGGGAACATTTTGGCTGGCCCAGGAGACAGATCTAGGGACCGAGGCCTGGTGCGGCCCATGTTGTGTCCTGAGGCCCCTCTGTGAAGCTGTTCTGTGGACATGCCCACGGGCTGGTGGGGTGAATTATTGCTGCTCTGGGTTGTGCCATGTCCGGCACTGGTTGTGGACTAATGGGGAAAATTGCTCACTCGGTGAGAGGCACGGTCCTTAACTGCACAGCTCAGGCTCACCTGTCATTGCAGATCCTTGTTCTGTGCTGCTAGGAGGGTCTTTAGGCAGAGGTGTACCCTCCACATGGATGTCATTTGCCCCATGATGCGGAAGAGGAGTCTCATCTTCTGCGGGGAGCTGGGGGGAGCTCTGGGCTGGATTCTGTGCTTGGTAGCCGCCTGCAAGGGAACAGCATGGGCATGTCCTGTCCCTCCTGATCTGATCACCCTCAGCCCCCTGGGGTCACGTTCCCTGCCCTGGCGGATGGGGAGCGGTGCTCAGGGAAGGGGGAGAAGGTCACAGCTTCTCAGCTTGAGGAGCCGTGGTGAGGGGCTGGCCTGTGAGTGTCAGGGGACGTTGGGGGATGCTATGGGCAGAGAAGGGCAGTGAGGAGACCCTCATGGGGCAGAGAGGGGTCAGAGGGCAGTGCTGGGGACTGGAGCAGGCTGCTCACACCCCAAGACCCCCAGGCCACAACCTGCAGCACCTGGGCCAGCTCCAGCTCGTGGGTCCTGCTCAGGGACGAACCTCGGGCTGGGGCAAGGGCTCCCACGGTCCTGAAATGGGCTCCGGCAGCGGGGCTGGCTGTGCTGCCCTCCGCGCTGGCTCCGGAGCCCGGCGGCTCTCTGGGATGCAGCCCCAGCCCGTGAGAGCTGAGGAGCGAGTGGGGAGGGGACGGCTCTTGTCAGGGACTGCTCCCAGCGCGGCGTTGGACGCTGAGCTCACGGGAACCGCAGCGCTGGCATCGCTGTTCACACTGGGCTGCAACCCGCTGAACGCCGTGGGACTGACCTGTCAGACTGCACGTGCAACGACTCTCGATGGGGGTCTCCAGGGCAACATGTCCCACCTGGCAGATGTACTCTGCACCCACGTCACCGAGTAGGGAGGACGTGAAGTGGAGTCTCGTCTCCCGCTGGAACCTCTTCCCGTCCCGTGCTAGAACGGCTACACCAGGGTCGATGCTGTATTCAGATGAGTCCTGCAGGGCCACGGCGCCAGCACCTCTAACACCCCTCCTGAGCCAGGTCAAGCTCAGCTCCCCCGGGAAATAACCCGTGATGAGGCAGCTCATGGTGACTTTACACCCACCAAAGGTCCACCATGAATGGTGCACGGAGATTTGTGACAGCTCTGGGGGCCGCAGGAGACCTGGGGAAGGAAACACCCAGAGACAGTGAGAGGTTTTGTCAGGGGAGCTGGAGAGAGATGCGAGAGAGAGACTGAGCCCCCGCAGTGGGGCTGGGACCCCTGAAATCTCCCCCCTTGCACCCTGACCCACCAGCATCTCCAGCTGGGCAATGGGATGGGGACCAGAGGACCCCACAGCTTGTCCCCGTCAGTGGCCTGGCTGGGTCCGGGAGGTTACGATCCCCGCTCCCGAGCCCAGGGGAGCCATCACTCACCGGCATCCTTCCGGCT